CAGGGCACCCGGCCACCCACACGTGCCCAGTGCAAGAAATACACCCCTGCCACCAGCCTGGGCTCCCCGAACTGCGTGGGATCGGCTCCTGCATGCAGAAAATGCACCTCATTCCTCAGGTTTCACTCAGAGGGGAGGACATGCAGTGAATGCATTCATGTGTATTCACAAAGTGCACGGGACTAGATTGGGGCTGCAATGCTGTCAATACCTGGGCATCTCCTGAATGCATCAGCTGGGCAAGAAATGCATTTCTGCAGCTGCCTCCTATAGTATTAGGTACACATGATCAGACAATGCATGCAGGGTGCACTTTGTCTGTTCCAAATATTTGCACCCTGCAGAAAATGCAATGAACGCATGAGCATTGTCTATGGAACCACGACATGCATGGGATCAAATCATGCATGCACAGTGCATAAAATGCACACAACCCCATGCATCTTGCTAATGCATGGCCAGTGCAGGCAAGGTAGAGAATGTATTAACTTAACCAGTGCTTCCCCAAGTGCTCGGTGCATGAAATGCAGAAAATACATTTCCTGAACCTGTTCTGCGATGAGATGCATGAGATGAAATCCTGCATTCGTAGTGCATGAAATAAACACACCCACATGCATCTTGCGAATGCATGGCCTGTACAGGTGAGGCAGTGAATGCATTAACTGAGCTGGTGCTGGCATGGGATTGGCTCATGCATTTAGAGTGTGAAATACAGCCAATCCCATGACTCTTGCTAGTGCACGCCCGATGCAGGAAATGCATTTGCACGGAGGGTGGGGGAAAGGAGGCCTGGGGCAGCCCATGCAATCAGCTCAGCAGGGTGGATGCAAGTCTCTGCCTGGTGTCTCTGCCTTGCTTCTCACTCAGCATCACAAGACTCCAGCCACCCACCGGACCAAAGGTGTCCAGGACAGGGCTGCCACAGCACAGGCCCCGCTAGGCCCTGAGAAGCCGGAGGAGCTGCACTACGCCTCTGTCGAATTCTCCAAGCTGCAGCGCAAAGGGGGGGAACCTCCGGAGGCTGCTGCCATGGTATATGCCGAGGTCCGGCGGAAATAGCCCCTTCGCGCCATGGGCCCAGGCTGGGCGTCTCTGGCCCATCCAGTGCAGGGGGGAGTCACAGCATGGAGGGAAGGGGGCAAGGAGTCAGCCCAGGGCTGCACCCGCGATGTGGGAAACCTGGGTGCAAATCCCTGCTCTGGCCTGGACTCAGGGCGGAGTCAACTAAGCCTTGCAGATGCTGGAGCACTGCATTGAGGGGAGGTATCCCAGAGTCCTCTGCAGCTGGGTCCTAAAGCCTGCCCCCTCCCAAACCCCACTGCCCCCAAAGGAAAGAGCCTCTCACCCCTCAGCCACTGAGAGTCTCTCTTCTACCCTGCCTGAGCCCTCACCCCCTCGTTTCACAGATGGACAAGACTTTCAAGCTCAGGGGCAGCAGCGGAGGGATGGCTTTTGGCTTTTGTTTAAGGTGCTGGTCTGGTACTCAGGCTTCCTGGATTCTAATCCCTGTTCCACTGAAAATTATGTAGGTGAGGTGGGGCCAGTTGCTGCATCTCTCTGGCCTCAGTTTCCACACCTTGAAAATTGGCATAATAATGGTATCCTGGGCTACGTACAGTATAAACTCTTAGGGTCATGGACTGTCTCTTGCTGTGTGTCTGGGCAGCACCTGGCACAAAGGGGCCCTGGTCTCTGTCTAGGTCAATCAGTGCCATGTGATTATAACTTCTTAATAACAATGTTCTATTGAAGGTAACTTCTTCACTCCAAAGGCAAAAACATCCGACTGTAAAATTCCCTGTTCACAAGCTGTTACTTGAAATAGATTTTCATGTGTCATTTTTTGTCACTGCTACTTTTTCAACAAAGAGCCAATAACAATTATGACTTATTTGTGTCCAGTAAAGAATCTGTTTTCACTTCTGCCTTTCCACTGGAAGGCCCCGATCGCAGCTGGTTTCTAGGCAGGGCCGGGCATAACACGGCTCCAATTCCAGCTGGGGCAGGGCCTGTCTCTCGCTGTGTATGAGCAGCACCTGGCACAATAGGGCCCTTGTCATAAACATACAGCTAAGAGGAGCATAAAATCCCTCCTTTACCTCCAAGGGGTTAAGAAGCTCAAATAACCTGGTTGGCACCTGACCAGAAGGACCAATGCAGAAAGGAGATACTTTCAAATCTGGGATGCGGGGGAGGAAGGTTTTGTTTGTGCTCTTTGTGTGTGCTTCCTTGGGATGGAGAGGGACCAGGGCAGGAAAAAAACCTCTCCTAAAACCCTACCTGAAATAAGCATCAAAGGTTACAAAAATTGTAAGTAAATGCATTAGATTATCTTTTGTTTAGCTTGTGAATTTTCCCTATGCTAAGAGGGAGATTTATTCCTGTTTTTTGTAACTTTGCATTTTTGCCTAGAGTGGAATCCTAAATTTTTTCAATCTTATTACCCTGTAAAATTACCTTCCATCCAGATTTTACAAGGGTGCTTCTTTTCCTTTTTTCTTTATAATAAAGTTCTGCTTTTAAGAACCTGATTGGTTTTTAGTGTCCTAAAACCCAAGGGTCTGGTCTGTGCTCACCTTGTTTACCTATTTGGTTGGTATATTATTCTCAAGCCTCCCCAGGAAAGGGGGTGGAGGGGATTGGGGGGATATTTTGGGGAAACAGGAACTCCAAGTGGTCCTTTTCCTGACTCTTTATCTAACTCACTTGGTGGTGGCAGTGCTACCGTCCAAGGACAAGGAAGGATTTGTACCTTGGGAAAGTTTTTAACCCAAGCTGGTAGAAATAAGCTTAGGGGGTCTTTCATACGGGTCCCCACATCTGTACCCCAGAGTTCAGAGTGGGAAGGGAAGCCTGACAGCCCTGATCCCAGCTGGGGCAAGGCCTGTCTCTTGCTGTGTCTGGGCAGCCCCCAGCTGTCATGGACTCACAGGACTCATTCGTGCTAACAGTTAGCCAGTTTTCAATCTGGGTCACGGTAATTTCGTTTCCTTCTAGTTTTTTAATCAAAATGTTGAGCGGTGCCAAGTGCAACTCCCTACGGACGGTGATAGATATTACATCACCGCCATTGCCTTTAGCAACAGGGTGAAAATCAGGACAGAGGACTTGTAAGGCCGTATGTGTGCGTGTGATTTTTATTGCAATAGTGCTTTTGAAACCCTGGCTGAGCTCAGGGCACAGTCGGGCCTGGCTAACTTGCTAATTGCTAGATCTCCAGAGGTAACTGTCACCAGGGAATCAGCAGTGAGCGCGTGTTTCCAGAAGGATCCCGCAGGGAACTGTCCTTGCCCCGATGCTTGTTAACACCTTTTTCTACAACCTGGAAACCAACATAAAATCAGCCCTGATCCAGTTTGCAGATGACACACAGATGGGGGAATGGTAAATAATGACGAGGCCAGGTTACTGCTACAGAGCACTCCGGGTCGCTTCGTAAACTGGGCAGAAGCAAACAGTGTGTGTTTTAATAGGGCTAAATGTCAACATGTTCACCTAGGAACACAAGGTGTCAGCCAGACTCACAGGATGGGGGATGCTCTCCTGGGCAGCAGGGACTCTGGGAACAATTCAGGGATGATGCTGGATAAGTAGCTGGTGCGATGCTGCAGCCATCCTGGATGCATCAACAGTGGGCTCTGGAGTCAGAGCGGGGAGGTGATTTTCACTCTGGATCTGGCCCTGGTGCGACCGCTGCTGGGATCCTGTGTCCAGTTCTGGTGCCTGCAGTTCCAGAAGGACGTTGACCCATCAGGGAGGGCTCAGAGGGGAGGCAGGAGAATGATTAAAAAGTTAGAAAACCTGCCTCAGAGTGCACATCTTTTCCTTCAGTAACTGTCTAACTACGACGTGTGCATCGTAACCTTTGGAACTGTGCGCAAGGAACGGGCAGTCCTGGAACTCTTTGCCAAGAAAGGTCTTAACAAAGGTAGAAAGACACTCACTGCCCTTAAATTCCCAGGATTTTTCCAGCTTTAGGGACACTGCAACAATGTAATTGGGCATGTGCAGCCCAGTCTCCTGCATGCATTCAAAATCGTAAAAAAATCCACTTTTCCGATGATTTGGGCTTTCTAATGCTATCCATAAAACAGGTGGCTGTCTACATCACCGGTGATCAAACCCTGACACTGCTTACAGAGCCTCCCTTTGCACCTGTGCCCCTTGTGCACTGATCACATAACGTTTTAGACAGGAATTCAACTTGTTTTTTCAATGCACAGTCGACGTGTCTGTCTAAACACTCTTTGGAGCGTCAATACAGTCTACAGCTAGGACACCTCAGCTGCACGCCCACGCTGTCCGAGCACATTACGCTCAAGCAGAGGCAGAAACAGTACCTGCAAGAGTGGTTGTGACTATACGCCGCGTGGCAAAACTCACAATCATTTTTCGCCCCGCACAACTTTTTCACATCCAGAACCCCATAGTAATGTTCATCGTGCAACAGGATGAAAAAGTCTTGGGATACACCGGGCCCCCCGTTTTAAAAAAGCCCCATCTGCCATTCCCCGCATACAGCACCATGTGTATGTTGACTCCTAAATGCTGTTTAAACATTGCTATGTCCCTGAGCAGAACCTTTTTTTGATCTGACCACCCCTGTTTCTCATGCAACTTTCTCGCCTCCGCTAATAATTCTACCTCCATGGGTTTATGGTCGGACATGACAGCCAAGAGCCCACCCGCAAAACACAGATTGGTACCCGTGTAAGTGAGGTCTACGAAACACTGTCTCTTTTTATGGATGATTTGACTACTGAGGATAGAATTTAAAACTCTACGATGGCCCCCACCCCTGTTTTTTACAACCATAACAACGAGTCGCAATGTCCCATCTACATGCCTCTCTGTATTGCTCTGTAGCAGTTTTGGGGTCTGATTTAAGAAATCCTCAGAAGACAGCTCATCCCTGGTTCTTCTGACTGAAAACAAAGGGTTAGTTCAATTCCTGCTCTCTAAACGTAACTGAACAGAATCATCAGGGCCTACCCGCCATGAACGTCATCGATAACTTCCTGTCTCCCCGTGGGTATGGCTTCAACAACCTGCTGAGCTGAATTTATTCACTCAAGATTGACAAAAAAAAAAATTCCTCACAATACATTGACCCCCCCCAAATCTAGGTAATTCACATCGCCAACTTCTCAGTCTCTCCATATTCACCTCTGCATTTTCAGGGTTACTTGGGGGTTCCTCTATGGGACCATCAGCGGCATCTTCTACGTCAGATGCTATTTGAGAGTCAGACTCCGAGGGTCCTCCGTGAGGATCATCAGGAGAAGACGGGGACCCCTCAAGAGAGTCTTCTGGGGTGTTTTCTAAATCAGATTCTGTGTGAGAGTCACCACCACCCCGCAGGTCAGATTCTGCCTCCCCATGTTCAGACGAGCCAGTTGGAGAGCCTCCACTAGGGAGCATCTCTTTTGTTTTTTTTCCTCATTACCTCTTTAGCCTTTTTTTTAAATTTTTACAAATTTAAACTGGAACTGGAACTTTTTGGCAGCCATCTGTTTATCCCCAAGCGCTGTCCCCCTTTTGTTTACACCTGAGCTGACGTGTACCCTTGAGGGCGTCCCTTTTACCCAGGCCCCTTTCCACTACTAGTCACACCTGCTCAGAGCCACACTTTGGAAAAATTGAAATATTTTTCAAAATGTCACCTGCAAGAGCTTTGCATTTTTGGTGTACTTTCCAGCCCTCCTTTCTTTTAGAACCCCTGAGGATACAGCATCCACCAATATTCTGAATGAAGCATCATACTTTTCCCAAATACTAGAATATGGGAGAGCTGTGACAAGCTCATGGTGTTGGGAAAATGGTTTGTCAGTCCTTGGTTTTTTATTCACAACCCCTAGACTGCGTGCTCCGAGCTTGTGAATGTGGGCATTTTTGCTCACAGTTTTCTCAGGGCTTGGTGCGGTAGTGGACGCTGAGGGACTGGAGTTGTGTTTGCGGGGTTGATTTTTACCAGAGTCTTTTCTTTTGTCCTTGGGGTTGACGTATAGGAGGTTTGGACTGCCCTGATGCTTCATCTGCACTCTTGTGCTGTTTTGCGTTGGTGTTGTTAAAGGTCTCAAAGCAGATTCCTGGTTCTTTGGTAGTTTTCGTGGAGGTGTCCCTGTAGCTCCAACTACAGCATTGTCAGGAGAGTTACTGTCAAGGCTGTATCCCCACTTTGAACTTTAGGGTACAAATGTAGGGGCCTGCATGAAAACTTCTAAGCTTAACTACCAGCTTAGCTCTGGTCCCGCTGCCACCATTTCCAATGGATTCCCTCCCGAAGAAGTTTTTTGTTATTTCCCTTGGCGGTATGAAGCCACTGTAGCGCAGCATGGTCTGTTTGTAGTTGGAAACGCCGTCCCCAAACATATGGGCGTAGCTTTTCCAGCGCATACACAATGGCGTAGCATTCCTTTTCGCTGATTGACCAGTGGCTTTCCCTCTCAGACAGTTTCTTGCTGAGAAACACGACAGGATGGAATTCTTAATCCTGTCCTTCCTGCATTAAAACTGCTCTCACGCCTCGCTCGGACGCATCTGTGGTTACTAGTGTTAGCCAAATGGGCTCGTTTCCCCCTGGAGCTGCCCAATTACCCCAAGGAGGCACGGGAGTCTAGAAGACGGCTTCAAGTTCTTTATTGATCAGTCAGCTGAGCGGGTGTCCCCCTCGACTCATGCCAGAGGGAGGAACACACCCTACAAGCGTAGAGCAAGCCTTTTTATATCCAGTAACAAATGACTTAACGTGCATACATTCTGCTGACCTATGGAATTTTAAATTCCTTTCTAGGGGTAAATAGGATACATCTGTTGGGGCCCCCTTGATTGATTGCTTTTCCAGGGTCCAGGGGTAGGAGTAATGGGATACATCTGCTGGGCCTCCTTGCTGTTGGGCCTCTTTAATTGATTGTCTTGCTATACATTTATATATGGGAAAAACAGCTGGGATAATAGGCAAGTATTTGGCCTTTATTCTAACAAGGTTCTCCCCCCTTAAAAGCATTTTGAGAGCCTTATGGCCCCCAATCCTCAGCTTTTACCAGTTGATATAATGCCATCATGCGTTGGCGTACAATTTGATTAGCCATTCGTCAGACTAATGCAATTACACAGGGAGCCACTCTTGAGCCCCCCACTTTTGGGAGCTTCCAGCAGTCAATGCGGAATCAACGGACCGCCTCTCCCTAATCAAGTCGTCATATACCTTAATTCCTAATTTATTTCCCTGGATTTGGGGTAGTAGAAAGAATAAGGGCCTAATGTACCCAACATAACATATTCCTGACCAATTTGGAGGCAATCTTCGATAAGCGTATTGCCCACATATACCCCTTCTTGTTTTGTTCGGTTTAGACAAAGGATCCCCATCTCAGAGGAATAGAGTCGCCAAGGGCTACTATCCTCATCCCAAACTTCTGTTCCTTTGTGGACTATACTTAAATTACTGATCCACCATTTAGCTTGCACTGGCTGGGCTACCCAAGGCCATTCATTCCAATCCCCTGGACCTCCACAAACCCAGCAGCTACTAAGATTGAAGGAACTCGCTATTGTTTCTCCCAGTTGTATAAACCTATTCTCCCAACCATAGCCGTGATAGACACCTATGAACAGAAATATCAATAATGAGTTCATTATTGCTTTTTCCTAAACAGTCCTTTTAGCCCATTGAGTCCTTGATACTCCCAGACGGTGTCTTCGCCCGTGCCACCCCGGGCTTCCGGGGCCGGGGCAGGCAGAGGGCTGGTGTCCTCTTCCGTGGGATTGGTTCCCTGGTCAGGATTCAGAAACCGCTTTACCCGGGTGTGATGTGTCCATTTGTCGCTCCCGAGAATTTTAACTGCGGCCTGGCTGATGAGCGAAACGGTGTGTGGACCGTCCCACCTTGGCGTAAGGGGGTCGCATTTCCACTTCTTGACAAGGACCTGGTCACCGATCCGGAACGGATGCATGGTCTGGTCCAAGGGGAGAGCCTGGAATGGCGCCGCGTCGATGCAGCTGTAACAAAACAGATTGCAACCCAGAGACCTGTTTCCATAAGGAGTCCTTCCCCATTTCCCAGTTTACATCCTCCCGGAATCCTGGGATAAGTATTCGGGGAGGGAACCCAAAGACCAGTTCAAATGGTGAGAGCTTAAGACCCTTACGTGGGGCCCTTCGAATGCGGGTAAGGGCGAGTGGTAACGCATCAAGCCATTTTAGACTAGACTCTGTGCATAGGTTAGTGAGGGTATCCTTGAGAGTCCTATTCATTCTTTCCACCTGGCCCGAGCTCTGCGGCCTCCAGGGGGTATGCAACCTCCATTGTATACCGAGTGCCTGGGACACCTGTTGGACCACTTCTGAGGTAAAGTGGCTTCCCTGATCAGATTCAATCGTTTCGGGGAGATGGAATCGGGGAAGTATTTCATGCAACAGGGCCTTAGTAACCGCCCGAGCCTGGCAATGCCGGGTGGGGTAACACTCTACCCATCCCGTAAGCTGATCCACAAATACGAGCAGGTATTTATAGCCCCTGCAAGGGGCATTTCTGCGAAGTCAACCTGCCATCTCTGAAAAGGGTACGTGGCCCAGGGTCGGCCTCCCATTGGGGCGGGAGGGCCACACCCCTTTTGGTTAGTTCGTTGGCAGACGGGGCAATTACTAACTCCTTAATTACTACTGCGGCTCCGGTAAACCGCTTGCCATCTATCACATAGCTGGACCCGTCAACGTACCCCTCAATTTCAGGGTTGGACCACGGCAAGTCTGAGAAATCAGGGCGGGGTTTGGTTTCCTGTTGCAAAACTTCAATACAGTCATGAGTGGGGCTTGTCTCATGGGAAACCTCAGGATTGGGCAGCAGGGTAGCTGGGTTTATGGAGCTAACTGTCCTAAAGGTTAAGTTAGGGGCTAGCAAGAGCCCTACTTCATACCTGGTATGTCGACTGGGATTTAAATGCTTTTCCCCAGCGCCTGTCCCCAGTATTTGAGGCACCCCGTGTGGAACCACAACCTCAGTGTCCCCTCCCAGGGTCAATTTTTCAGCCTCCTGTACAAGGAGAGCGGTCGCTGCAACGGCCGTAAACAGGCAGGCCACCCCTTGGCGACGGGGTCCAACACCTTTGAGTAGTATCCAATGGGTCGCCAGGTTGGTCCCGACCTTTGGCATAGAACTCCAGCACCCACCCCTCCCCTCTCATGAACGTATAAAGTGAACGGCCTCCGAGGGTCGGGGAGGGCTAGAGCGGGAGGCTGAACCAAGGCTTCTTTTAGCTCTCGAAATGCTTTTTCCATCTCTTTGGTCCACGTCCAATGGAGCAGACCCTCTTTAGTTAAGGATTCATATAATGGTTTGGCTCTTCCCCCGTAGTCAGGGATCCAGAGTCGACAAAACCCAGTCAACCCCAGAAAAGCCCTCAACTCTCGGGGGTCTTGAGGTCGAGGGTTATTGAGTATCACCTGGATTCTTTCTTTACCTAGACTACGACTTCCCTGGCACAAATGATCCCCAAGAAAAGTGACCTGTCGCCTAACCAATTGTGCTTTTTCCTTTGAAACCTTATACCCCTGCGCCCCAAGGTAATTAAGGAGCTTTACAGTCTGCTCTTTACAAGCTGCCTCTGTTTCAGTACTTAAAAGCAAATCATCCCAATACTGGACTATGTTACACTGGGGTTGTCTAGCCAGGAATGGGGCAAGGTCCCTTCTAAACTGGCTGCCAAAAATCTCGGGTGCACAGGTAAGTCCCTGTGGGACCACGGTCCAGAGGTATTGAGCCTTATAGTGAGTATCTGGGTCCTCCCACTCA